CAGATCTGGGGGGAACAAAATAATAACAAAAAGAAAAAGGCAGTGGGGAGCGATGCATTTCCTGTGGATCTACTTAGGCATTCATTTTAATTCCGGGTAATTAGCAGGTGTAGGCTCGTTTTCGGAAAATTCCCGTTAAGCCCTCTAATTTTAGGGGTGCAACGTGTGGGACTCTCAATACGTAACAAAGGAGTCGAGCAGGAATTAACTCAAACTGTTCTCCAGAGCTGCAATCAGCACTTTCATAATTAATGTACGGGCGTGTATATATATATATCTGTATACACATACACAGCCCCCCCCCGCACACATCAAACAGATTTCCTTGATACCAAATTGCCTGAAAAATTAACCAATGTCAAACTGCTCAACAAGATAAGTATCATTAAGGGAAAAAGAAAATCTTCATTATGTTTGAAGGTACGAGGAAAAAAAAAAAAAACCCAACCCTCGTGAATGTTTTCCAGCCTGTTTCCAGACCGGGAAATAACATGTTTTAAAACATATCAAAGGGTTAAATTAAGCCCCCCCCTGCACACATCAAACAGATTTCCTTGATACCAAATTGCCTGAAAAATTAACCAATGTCAAACTGCTCAACAAGATAAGTATCATTAAGGGAAAAAGAAAATCTTCATTATGTTTGAAGGTACGAGGAAAAAAAAAAAAAACCCAACCCTCGTGAATGTTTTCCAGCCTGTTTCCAGACCGGGAAATAACATGTTTTAAAACATATCAAAGGGTTAAATTAATTTTCATTAAAATTTAAATTTGAGAAGGCTCCCTCTCTTCTTCCCTCCCTCCTCCCCCTTTGAACGTTTGACTGGCAACCATTTCATATTTCAATCTCGGCAGAACAAATTGAATTAGATGTTGAAACCAAACTCTGCTCTGTTCTCTAAAGCCTACATGCTCTGCTTGCGCTAATCCTTTTCGTCGCCGCTGCAGACCTCAGAGACACTCAGCAAGAAACCTGCCCCGCCACAAAAGACAATGAAGGGAGAGAGGAAAAAAAAAAAAAAAATTAAAAAAAAAGCCAAACCCCCAGGAAAAAAAAAAAAAAAACCCAAGGAAAATCCAACCCCAACCTGCAACGGCTGCAAAGCGGCGCTGGAATTGTCGTACATGGGTTTGGAAGGGACCCTGCCTGGCTCCTCTGTCCTTTCTGCTGGCTGTTGGCCAGTTGATCCTGCACCCCTGGGATGCTAAAACCCCCATTTCCCCACGGTGACCCCCCCATTGGCACAAAGTCACCCTAGGACCCCCACTGGTCCCACCACTGCTGGCCCCCCGTGCTGGTGTAGATGGCCAAGGCAGCAGGGAGCCATGGAGGGAGAAGGGATGGGAACGTCACTCATCAATGCTGAGTGATAAAAAAGGAAAGAAAAAGCTTGTCACCGTTTTGGGTGACACAGTGACACCCCCTTTGACACCCGTGCCTCAGTTTACCCACCTGTTTACCAAGCATGGACAGCTTCTGCAGGGCAGGGTGATGTGCTGGAGCTGCCAAAATGGATGAGCATTTCACATCCCAGCCCTGCAGAGGTCCCACGGGGACACCCCTGAATTGTGGGGGTCTCTCTCCTGAGCACCCCACAGCAGCAAAGCCCGGTGCTGGGGGCCGGGAAGGTGCTTGGAGGCAATGGAAGGGCCTTTTTGGGGACTGGCACAGGGTGTCACAGCTCTGGGCACTGAGCTCAGCCTCCTCCCAGGGTCTGCACAAAGAGCTGGGGAGCTGCTGGTGTAAAGCCCAGGGCCTCACAGAAGGACCAGTTTCAGGGAGGGGGTTTGCAGAGGGGCTGGGACAGGATGCATCCAAAAATGCCAGGCTTGCCTAGGTTCTGAGCAATGCTGTCTGTCCTGCTGTTCCTGTCTGCTCCATCCCTCCCCAGCACCATCCTTCCCCAGCTCCATCCCTCCTCACCTCCATCACATCCCACTCCTCCATCCCTTTCCAGCTCCATCCCTCCCCAGCTCCATCCTTCCCACCTCCACCGATCCTCACCTCCATCCCTCCTCACCTCCATCCCTCCTCACCTCCGTCCATCCCTACATCCATCCCTCCCCAGCTCCATGCCTCCCACCTCCATCCATCCTTACCTCCATCCTTCCCCAGTGCCATCCCTCAACTCCATCCCCTCCCTCTCCTCCATCCCTTTCCAGCTCCATCCCTCCCCAGCTCCAACCCTCCCACCTCCATTGATCCTCACTTCCATCCTTCCCTACATCCATCCTTCCCTACATCCATCCCTTCCCACCTCCATCCCGCCCTACATCCATCCCTCCTCACCTCCATCCCCTCCCTCTCCTCCATCCCTTTCCACCTCCATCCCTCCTTACCTCCATCCCTCCCCAGCTCCATCCCTCCCACCTCCATCCCTCCTCACCTCCATCCCTCCCCACCTCCGTCCATCCCTACATCCATCCCTCCCCAGCTCCATGCCTCCCACCTCCATCCATCCTTACCTCCATCCTTCCCCAGTGCCATCCCTCAACTCCATCCCCTCCCTCTCCTCCATCCCTTTCCAGCTCCATCCCTCCCCAGCTCCAACCCTCCCACCTCCATTGATCCTCACTTCCATCCTTCCCTACATCCATCCTTCCCTACATCCATCCCTTCCCACCTCCATCCCGCCCTACATCCATCCCTCCTCACCTCCATCCCCTCCCTCTCCTCCATCCCTTTCCACCTCCATCCCTCCTTACCTCCATCCCTCCCCAGCTCCATCCCTCCCACCTCCATCCCTCCTCACCTCCATCCCTTCCCACCTCCATCCCGCCCTACATCCATCCCTCCTCACCTCCATCCCTCCTCACCTCCATCCCTTTCCACCTCCATCCCTCCTCACCTCCATCCCTCCCTACACCCATCCCTTCCCACCTCCATCCCTCCTTACCCCCATCCTTCCCTACATCCATCCCTCCCTACATCCATCCCTCCCCAGCTCCATCCTTGTACTAGCTGTTGGAGAAGGTGTTAACAGCACGTCCACCTCGAGGCATCCTTAAATCAGAGCCGTTCCAAGGGAACAAATGTTATCTGGAGGCCCCGGCACTCACTGCAGAGGCACCGCATGACGCAGGCAGTTATTTAACCCAACTCAGATTATTCCTGCCGTCATGGAAGCACCTTCCCTTTCATCAGGAGGGCCCCGGTGCTGTGCCTGTGCCTGGCCGGGGAAGGCAGAGGTATCAGCAGGGTTATTGGTCTGCTCCAGGCCCAGAGGCGCTCGCTGTTCAGGCAGCCAGCGGCGTTGTGGGTTGAACAAAAGTCTGGTAATAAGTAAGGTTATGAGCATCCCACTGCTGGGTGCATTGGGTACCGCCTCGCAGCGACAGGGAGATACTGCCGAGGGGAAAACAGCCTCTCCAGCAGTAATGTGCATCGTGCACACAAACACACGGCAGCCAGAGCGGGGCGGCTTCCCTGTGCCGGTACACGGAGGAGAGACCTGGCTTCTCCCGGTGCCGGTACATGGAGCACAGCCCTGGCATCTCCTGGTGCTGGTACACGGAGGAGAGCCCTGGTATCTCCCAGTGCCAGTACATGGAGGACAGCCCTGGCATCTCCTGGTGCTGGTACACGGAGGGGAGCCTCAACGTCTCCCTGTGCCAGTACACAGAGGAAAGCCCCGGCTTCTCCTGGTGCCGGTACATGGAGAACCCCAGCATCTCCTGGTGATGATACATGGAGGAGAGCTCCGGCTTCTCCAGGTGCCGGTACACAGAGGAGAGCCCCAGCATCTCCTGATGGTACACAGAGGAGAGCCTCAACCCCTCCCTGTGCCAGTACCTGGAGGAGAGCCCTGGCATCTCCTGGTGCCGGTACATGGAGGAGAGTCCCAGCTTCTCCCGGTGCCTGTACATGGGAGGAGAACCCCAGCATCTCCTCGTGTCTGTACACAGAGAGCCCCAGCATCTCCCAGTGCCAGTACACGGAGCACAGCCCTGGCTTCTCCCGGTGCCAGTACACGGAGAAGAGCTCCGGCTTCTCCCCGGCACACTCAGCTCAACGCCACTTTGGCCACATACAGCACTCAGCCCCAGCAACACCCTAAAAACCAGGGGCCACTTTGATGAGATTTAAGAGCCGGCACCATTCCTGTCACTGTAAAAATGAGAGCCAGAAGGTGTCAAAATCATTCCCAGAAGTTTGTATAACACTTCTCCAGATGCTGTGGCTGGAGGACAGGTTTCCTACCGGCAACTTGAGGTTTTCACCGTGGCCACAAACCCACACAAAGGAGACCCACGAGCCTCTCTCACCCCTCTTGAACCCATGCAGGGGGGTTGCAAAGTGGTCTCAAAAGGAGTTTGGGGCTGGTTGAATTATACGGTGTTTGACTGCAGGGAGCTATTTATTCCTGGCTCCCTCCCACCATCCTCTGCTCCAGCCTCAAGAGAAGCCACTCCAAGAAGACACACGCCAAGGAGGAGCGATGCCAGCCAGAATTCGAGATGGCACCAACTAGACCTTGGGGTGCCTGGTGGCCTGGGAGGGAGGGAAGCCGAGGGGACTGGGGGTGCCAGCAGGGAAAAGGCCTTTGCCAAGCTCTGTTTTGTGGTGGCAGCTGCAGGTTGGTCTCCAAAAAGGCACTTTTTCCTTTTATTTTGGCAGCCCATCTGCTCTCCCCCAACCAGAGCGAGGGCCGAGCCGTGACTCGAGAGCGATTTTGCTGCGACAGCAATTCTGCTGCCTTCTCTTTGCAGGAAAGCAAATACCAGGGAGCGCAGGGAAACACACTCAGTGCGTGGACCTGCTTCAACACGGAGCCTCAACCCAGCTCAGATCTGGGTTGTACCCCCCGAGACCCCAGCTAAGAGCCTGTGGGGTGACAGGGAGGAGAGTCAGAGGGTGGGGACTCCAGCTCGGGGGCTGCCGAGCCTTTGCAAGGCCACCTTCTCCTCCTCCTGGCACTGCCAACCCTGTGGTAGCCCAAGGTATGTTGACCTTCAGGGCCAGTCGTGCCCTGGCAGGGCCCCACTGCCCTGGTACCCACCTCGACAATGCCAGGAAGCTGCTAGATGGTCTCATCTTGGTTGCTCTCCTCTTCCAGGTGCTCCAGGATTTCATTCAAAACCTCTGATTGCTTTCTCTTCTTTGGGGAGTCTGTCCAGGTCCACGTGGTAGCGAAGGAGACGTAGGAAGAGAAGAAAAGCAAGGATTACAACCCAGGCCCACACATGACCACCCCTGGATCATCTCCTGTTACCTCCAGACCACCTCAACCCATCCTGGGTAAAGCCCCCCAACTATCACTTATTTCTCACCAGCCAGATCCTGGCAGGGCACCACGGCTGCTGGTGGGACTCCATACCTACCACCCACCCTTTAGTTCACAGGCTCTGCTGGAAGCAACCAGCCCCAACACCCAAACAGGCGCATTGGTGATGCCATCCTTTCCTGCTGACCCCAATTCACCCATCCCCTGTCCCAAGTGAATTGGGACCCAAGAGCGGTCCCAAGAAAAACGTAGACACCAGCCATGGTTCAAGAAGGCTCTTGGCAAGATAAAGACCCACCAGCATCCTTGCTGAGATGTAAGATCATTGCTTGGCCCCACAGCCATGGGTGGCTGGGCATGGGTGTCCCTGCTTTGCTTCTCATGCCCCACACTGACAGCACTGTCCTGTGACACCCCCCAAGCATCATCACACTCCAAACCTGCCGTGGGGCGCAGCACCGTGCACACAGCCCTCCCCACAGATGAAAGAGGGTGAGAAACACCCCCCTCAACCCCCGGGGGTTGCTGGCCCCCCAGCGAGCATCCCAACCCCACATTGGTGCCGGGGGGGGTGACAAAGCCATTTGGTCCCTCGTGCTGGGGCTGATGTCTCTGCTGGGCAAGAAGTGGCCTCTCGGCAGGAGCCGCGGCGCAGCCCCCTCTCCCCCCGCTCGCTCCCCAGCCAGCGGCTCTCGCTCGCGAGCGAGCACATGGAGAACAGCTGTTTAAATCCGGAGTTCCCATCTAATGATTTTATTTTTCAATTAATTCCTTGACAGAGCGCCAGAACCCGCCTCCCTCCCCGCCGGGGGCTGTGGGGACGGGCAGGGGGACTGGCAGCCCCCACTCCCCTCTCAGTGCCCACCCTGCCAAGCTCGGGGGAGTCGAGGGGCACCTCGAGGTGCCACCCTGGGACCCTCCAGTGCCTTATCCCACTTCAAACATCCACAGGCACAAGGGACAACCCATCCTGGAGGAACCTAGGAGGTTCTCCATCCCGGCTCCTGCTCCCCCAGTTGGCATCGCACTTGGGGCTGGGAAATGGCATGTCCCCCACCTGGCAACCCCTTTCCCACCAGACCCCGATGTGAGAGAGCTCACGACGGGGGTTGCAGGGTGCTAGATGTGGGATGCACAAATCCACACCGGGGGGAGTTTGTCCCCCACCTGCCAACCCCTTCCCCACCAGACCCCGATGTGAGAGAGCCCACGATGGGGGTTGCAGGGTGCTAGATGTGGGATGCAGGATGTTGGATGCTGGATGCAGGGTGCAGGGTACAGGGTGTGGGATGCTGGATGTTGGACGTTGGATGTGGGATGCAGGATGTTGGATGATGGATGTGGGATGCAGGGTGTGGGGATGCTGGATGTGGGATGCTGGATGTGGGATGCAGGGTGTGGGATGCAGGATGTGGGATGCAGGATGTTGGATGCTGGATGTGGGATGCAGGATGTTGGATGTTGGATATGGGATGCAGGGTGTGGGATGCTGGATGTGGGATGCAGGGTGTGGGATGCTGGATGTTGGATGTGGGATGCAGGGTGTAGGGACACTGGATATAGGATACAGGGTGTGGGATGCTGGATGTGGGACGCTGGGTGTGGGATGCAGGATGCAGGATGTAGGATGTGGGATGCAGGGTGTTGGATGCTGGATGTGGGATGCAGGGTGTGGGATGCTGGATGTTGAATGTGGGATGCAGGGCGTTGGATGCTGCATGTTGGATGCTGGGTGCTACAGGAGCATCCCTAAGCAGTGTGATGCCCCCAGGAGACCCACCATGGCGTGGGGCAGGGGGGGCTGGTGGAGCAAACAGCCCCCACCATGGGCTCCAGATTCACCGGCTCAGCCACAGCACCGTCAGGAAGCACCGGGAGCATCCCCCCATCTGCCTAACAAGGAGGAAAAAGGGGGAAACACCCTCCTTCCCCCCCCCAGTGAGGGTGGGGAAGGGAATTGGTTCGACTTCAGGGGGGAAACACTCCCCTTCCTCCCCCTCCAAGGAGGGTGGGGAAGGGAATTGGTTCGACTTCCGTTCTGCTGCTCCAAGCTGGTTAAGGTTTGCCCGCTAACGATCCCATTTGCTTCCTTTAAACAATAGCCAAAGCCGGCGGGGGTGGGCCGAGAGGGGGATTACCACGGGATTAGAACGTGGCAGGGTTGCGGATGCCACGCTAATCCTGCAGGGTTTTACTCTCCGGCTACGGCATGTGTTTGCATTAGTTACAGATGCTCTCTTAAAAAAAAAAAAGAAAAGAAAAAAAAAATCATAAAAAAAAAAAGAAAAGAAAAAGAATAAAGGAAAAAAAATGGGAGCCCAAAAGGCTGGGAGGTGAAGGCGAGCGTGGCGGGTCTGTAACGCAGAAGAGAGGTAAAAGGAGCAGTTTTGGGGTATGTGGCCAGCGGAGGAGCAACCTGGGAAAGGTGATGGGGATGGGGAAGACCCTTCCCATGCCAGCGGGGAGGGCACCAGGATCAGGTCCACAGTGGAGCCCACCCTTCTGCTTCCAGCAACCGACAGTAAATAACCAGTGGGGCTCTGCTGCTTTCCACCCCCTCACAGCCCCCTGCTGAGACTGGGGGGGGTGTCTCACCAGAAACGCTCTCGACCACGACCAAAATACAAGCCAGACCCCCTCCCCACGCACCCCTCTCTCATTC